GTATGTTGTTTTACGCCCGGTTCAAGAACTTTTCACTTATATAGAAACGTCACCATAATTATATCGGCAAAGTGCTTGAAATTTAGACCTTTACACGGCGCTTAGGGCTATTGAGCAGTGAGGGTTCTTTATCATGCCAACGCCTACATGTACCATGATATGGGGCCTTTAATGGGGTTTTTAAAGTCTCATCCTAAAGACCTGCAACGTTTACTTCAAAGTGCCGAGAGCTTAAATGATGTGATACCCCCCCCTCCCCCCCGAAACACACACACAAATTACAAAATAAATCCAAAGGAGATATAAAAACTATCAATGAACATTATATTGAATACAAAAAGAAGCAATTTGAATATATACTATTGAGGTTGACATTTAGGTGAAGAACCAGTTCCAGTTTCAAGATTATCATTCATTTATTTTTTAGATATTCTGTGGCACCTTCAATGGATTTTTACGATATTACTTTTTATTATATCTTTTAATTAACCTTTCAGATAAAAGCAATGGGGAAAACTGACTTTTAAGATTTCGTTCAAGTGATACGTATCCATAGATATGACGTATTTCAGATGAATGTCCTAAGCATGCATTGCTTTAAAGGGAGATTTGTCGGGAAGGGGGGGACTGACCCCCTCCCCCTGAGATTTTCAAGAGTTAAAAGGTTATATGTAAAAGTAACAAAAACATGTCTATGAACCCATTTCCCCAGGACACTTATTAAAATGGCAACAAGTCATGTGCATTATGAACCCATTCCCCGGGACACTTATTTAAAAGGCAAGAAGTCGTGTGCATTATGAAAAGAGACCCCCCTCCCTCCCTTCTCCTCTGAAAAGGTTTTTAAGTTTGAGGCAATTAATTTTATTTATTTTCATTTCCTTTTACTTATTTGTTTATTTATTTATTTATATTTGCTTGTCAGAAAACTTCCGAGACTTGACATCTGTGATATTTAATATGAACCCTCCCCCTCCACCCCCCACCCCTGATAAAAATTCCTGGGATGAGTGCTTAATTGTCCCCTATATATAATTTTTAAAAAAATTATTTTAACTAATAAAACTTGTCATTCCTACTATGGCTACATATTCTTTATCCCTACACAAAGCCATACTGAGGAATTGGAATAGTTTTATTTTTCAATTAATTCCGTTGCCATGGAAACAGGAATTCATAACAATTAATGAAATAATTACCAGTTTCAGTGTGCAGGATTCATTTCTGCATGACCTATCAAGAAAATTCAAGATCATATAGATGGCAAAACTATTTTTATGCATATATAGAGTGTCTTTTTAAACAGTGATTTATCGGCATTTTTGAACAAAAATCGGGTTTTTTGAAAACTGAAAAAAGTGATGTTTGGACAAATATATTTTTCTAGAGTTTTGATATATCAAAAGGCACATTATAAATAACAAAATTCTACTGGAATAATTTCTGTTGCAATTTGTTTAAGGTTAGGGTGTTTTAGGACTAAATTGACTGGACTAATTTTGGATATTCCACTACACTTGAAAAAAAAGACACCACACAGTCTTACACATATGTTTTACACTTGGATGTTTAACTAGAGAAAGACATCGATGGCAAACTAATAACTAAACTTATAATAAAAGTCTATACAATGACATTGTTTACGACCATCTATCCAATATTCACAGAGGTATTTAAATCAAATTGTAGTAGGCCATTATTTTCATACTGGATTGTCAACGGATTGCCGTGTTTACCAAATCAATAGAAGGTCTGACGACGGGTGTGTCAGGGGATGCTTACTTCTATATGGCACCTGATCCCACCTCTGATGTTTTCATGGCTCTTCAGGGATCTGCTCTTATTTTTATTATCGTTACTTGGACTTTTGAGCATGAAACTGTTTCTCATCTCACATTTTATGGCATTATTTGAATAATTTTGGGGAAAAACATTATTTTTTAAGGTAAAAAGTTCCAAGTGGAAACATATTTTGGAAGCAAATTCCTGGCAAAATGTTAACATCTGCAAACTAAAGTTAATATATGATTAACAAAAAAATTAAAAAAAAAAAATAAAGCAAAAACAGCTCGTTTGTGTTATATGTATATTTTAAAAGGATAGTTGAATTTTTTAGATGGTAATAGATGTAAATACACAGTTACAATGTAAATGTATTTTAAAACTTTGAAAGGGATTTGTTCTGTCTAAATCTGTATACGCATTAAGACCGGTACACACAGTAAGATTTGTATTACAGTATAATGCAAGTAATATGATACTTTTGTGAAATATAGTACTTTTCTGTACACGCGCTAATACAAATTTAGAAGATTGTAAATAAACGTAGATAAATTCACGTGCTGTTTGCCCTCATTATTTCTTTCAAAACAATTTCAGTAGTGTTTGAACCATTCTTTGTTATAATTCTTTTATTTTATTGTTTAGTTCTGTACCATAATAGCACAACTATTTTGCATTTTATGTAACAGGTAATATAAATAAAAATTGGATGATTAATACATGACTCTGCTATACATACAGAACCATCTGGTAGGTCGTGATAAAAGGTCAGCTAAGATTTTATTAAGAAATAGAACATTGCTCTATTCTTAATACAATTCTAAAAGACTCGAAAAATCTTATGATACAATGTATTAAGAGCGGCGTACACACGATAAGATTTCGCAGTATAATACAAGTATTATAATACAAATCTTACCGTATGTACCGGCCTTTAGTGTGTTTGTCATGTGGGCCAGTTTACCTTTCAGATCTGTTACTACTGGACCCATTAGCAGTCTCCCTAACTGAATTCCTTTATACATGCTTAAAAAAGAATATCATATATCGCGGGGAAAATATATATTGTTCATTCTCTTTTGATGGAAATTACGGTAATATTTTGATAAATTATACGAACCTTTAGAGTAAAAATGAATTCATTTTCTATCAATGCTCTCATAAGGAAATTTTTGTTCGGTTGTTTATTATCACCAAAATAGGCTCCTTGAGAATATTATATCTAAGAATATTCTATTGCATTCTTCAAGGACGCAGTGTTCTTATTCTTATTATTTAAGTAAACAGTCCTAATAATCGATTCGAGATAGTATCTATTCGTAATTAGAAATATTTTAGTCATATATATGAAATCATATCAGTTTTAAAGATGTATTTTTATCTACTCAAGAATTAACTGAATTTGAGTTTTTAATCATTCTCATGATTTTTTTTCTAAGATCGTCACAACACAAATTATATTATACATGAATATTCACTATTTCGATAGAAAGCTTATGAATTAAAGGGAAAATCATACCTTAAGCCGTGTTAGACGTTAAAAATGACTTCATTTTTCCAGGTGAATCACGTGATCATTATCGGAATAGAGTTATTCCGTCATTATTCATGACTGACATTTGAAGACTTTCAAAATAGATTGTTTACACAATGATAAGAACCGCACTACATAGGGAATATTCAGTGTTTTGTAGTTGGATATGAAATTTATTACACGAGTTTTAAAAAAAATATTTTCACGAGTGCGAAGTCACGAGTTTCACTTCATGAATTTCACAATTTTGAAAGAGGCATCCTTACTCATCATAACCATGCACTTAAATACCCAGGAACAGAGTAGATTTTTAGAAAAATAATGCATTTTCACTATATTATCAATAGAGTTCCCCTCCCCGAATACCAGAACCCTTGACTCTGGGGTCATGAGGTTCACAATTTTGGAGGAGGCATCCTTGTTCAACATAACCATGCACTTGGTTTGTTTACTTAATACCCAGGGGCTGTGAAGAAATTTCTAAATAAAATTTATGCATTTTAATGATAGCTTTCCTGTTCTTGAGAAGATTTTGGAAGATTTTTCCTACATATTCCTATGTAAAATTTTGATCTCCCATTGAGGCCCCACGGGGGTCATGATTTTAACAAACTTTAATCTACATTATCTGAGGATGTTTCCATATCAATATGATTGATAAGGGCTTAGCTGTTCTTGAGAAGAAGTTTTGTGAAGATTTTTTTTCTATATACTCTTATGTAAAAGTTATAAACCCAATTATGGTCCCACCCTCCCACCGGAGTCATGATTTGAACAAACTTGAATCTGCACTTTGTAAAGAAGGTTTCACATAAGTTCAACTTTTTTGACCCAGTGGTTCTTGAGAAGAAGATTTTTAAAAGACACCACCACATTTTCACTAATTCTTAATTATCTCCCCTTGAAAGAGGGTGTGGCCCTTCATTTGCGTAAGCTTGAATCCCTTTCACCCAAGGATGCTTTGCGGCAAAATTGGTTAAAATTGGTCCAGTGGTTCTGGAGAAGATGCCGAAAATATGAAAAGTTTACAGACGGACGGACGGACAGACAGACGGATAGATGGACGACGGACAAAATGTGAACAGAAAAGCTCACTTGAGCTTTCAGCTCAGGTGAGCTAAAACAGAACGGCTATGTAATTATATAACTTTTTTTCTTAACAAATACATATTGTTCATATTTATGTCCGTTAAATAATCATATAAAATAGGTTTAAGTATGTTTAATATTGTATTGCTGATATGTAGGTCACTATATTCCATTGATGGAAGAACCACTACTGAAGAAATCTTCAGTTTGTATTATCAACCTTGGTTTTCATAAGAATTGAAGAAGATAATATTCAGTTGATGTAAAGATACTTTCCTTTCAAGTTAATTTCAAGTATTTGGAGTTTTGAAGAAATCCTAGATCCACCCTCTCCATAGCATCTCTAATTTTGATGTGTGAGCAGCCTTTTCAGATATAAAAAAAATGAAAATCTTTGTACATTTTTCATAAAACTATATTTCATTTCTTAATAAACATTACTGAACATTTCTTTGACTTAAAAAAAAACACATGAGGTAAAATATCCATTATCTAGGCCTGACTTATACATTGTCACGGTACCTTTGACCAATGCTTTGTCCTAAAAGTAATTGATGTGTGAGTAGTCTTTTAAGATATTAAAAAAATGAAAATCTTTGTACATTTTCCATAAATGTACATTTCATTTCTTAATAAACATTACTGAACATTTCTTTGACTTAAAAAACACACATGAGGTAACATATCCATTATCTAGGCCTGACTTATACATTGTCACGGTACCTTTGACCAATGACCTTTGTCCAACAAGAAAATGATATTGTTATCTCCATTGTAACCTTTATAGTTAGTTAAACTTTTAAGTGCAGTGTTACACTAATGTTGGAATGTTGATTGCATGTTGTCGTTTTCAGTGGAATCGATCATTTAAACCTGAAGGATAAATCTCTCCATTTCGTTTACTGTTAAAAACATTTTGTAAAAAATGAATACACAGTCATTGATTTCATTCTTTTAAGGTCTGTACACATACTGTCGGATTCCTCAGTATATGATGAACATCAGGTATCTGCTTCTATTTGAGCTGCTAGACATTTCATTTTTTGGACAGTTGTTATTAAGTATTTGAAATATTTATGAAAACTCAGTGCTGAAACAACATAAATGAATGGACTCAGCACAGCATTAAGTAACCAAGCCAGTTGTGCAACAATAAGAAATTGTTTCTCTGTGCTCTTAAATCTGTATAATGATAAGATGTAGCACACAAGGAAAAGAATAGCCGATGACATGTACACAATAAGAATTAATGACGTCACAAGGTACATCTTGATAATGTTGTGTTCTATATTGTGTTTGCTCAATGTGCGCTTTAGACGATGTATCTTCTTTACGTGGAAAATAATGATGAGCAGGACAGGAACTATAATAAGATAAACACGAAATACTATGATCACATACATGTAACTAGGCGTCTGTATTCCTGCTTTGTATCGTAGAACAAAATAAAATGCCGAGAATAATATGCTTAGGGCCCATATTGCAGCAGATGAGACGATAATTGTTCGCTTCCGTAACTGATTGAATTTTATTGGCTCCGACACCATATAACACCGAAGTCCAAATAGAAAAACCACGTGAGCAGCAGAGGTATGAGCAACACCATAAAAAACAACCAGAAAGGTTGCACATGGGACTTCTTCAAGACGAAAGTTACCAAACTTAAATACAGCATGAGCAAGGTAAAGAATCAAATTCACAATATCTGTAAATATTAGAGTTCTGATAACAACAAATACAGTGCCTTGGAAATTTTTGTCCCACGTGATCTTCACAAATGTGAGTACATTTCCTATAATTCCAAGCACTGTAATTGTAACGACAAGAACAAAGTGATCCGGTTGTAAATAAACAGGCACATCTTGTTTTAGCTCCTCATTGTAATCGGTTTCGTTTTTACTAACTATGAAATCCATGACCACTCCCAGAATTTCAAGTGTACTATTTACACTGAAATAGAAATACAAATAACAATTTTAGTTTTAAGAAACACTCGAATGCGAAATGTGAATAAAAATAATTGATAATAACATTTGATAATTTTACACTGAACAATTTTCATTATATATTACATGTAGTTAAAGGGAAAAAATAAGTAAATTTAATTCAAATTATGCCAAGAATTTAAGTAAATTAACTTACCCGTCAAATCCAATCATTTTTTTTCTATTGCCTTAAAGTGTTAATATCATTCACTACTCTTTAAATGCGGGTTACCAAGACAGAGAACTGTATCATATACAAGACAGCTTTATCACAGATTAGAGGCTCCCTGACGCAAGTTTTACACGTGGTATTTTCCAGTGTCTTATCATCTGAATCAAAATAAAAAAGAGTAGTGAGACAAAAATAAACCAAGATCAATATCTAATTTCATAATGTTTTTGATTATAGGTCAGTAATTATAATGGGGGAAAAAAGTATTTTCTTGCGATTTCGGCATGTGGTACAAGTACACCAATGTCTTCTTACATAAGTATCTGCGAAATATATGGACATGTTTGTTATTTATGTAATACAGTTTAAATGTAATAGAGGCACTTAGCGTATATGTCTTGTCAAAGACAATGCCGTTAGATGCCATAATCAAAGATACATGTAGTAAGCATGTAAGAATACTAATGACATTAAGGAAGACGTGTTTGGGTCTGAGGTCAGATTCAGCTAACAATTAATGTATATTAAACTATGAATCATCAAGAAACTTCTATCCTGATTTTAATTCAAAGGAAGTTAAGTAATGTGTATAAGTAGTATTTATCATCAAATTTTTCACATAGCAAAATATTTCACAGCTTCAACATGGAAAAAAGTTACATAATAGAGTCTTACGATCGGTAAAAGAATTTAAATCAAATTAAAATGACTTTAATGAATATAGGAATATTTGATTAGCACTGACAATAATAAATGTGTAAATCGGAGCACTCCAGATTCCTTCTAAGAGGACCTATTAAATTTTGCTTTGATGTATATGTACAGATGAAGTAATAAAAGTTTTTGTGGTCAAATCCAGATTTTTTAATTAATTTTTTTTTCTACCTCTCCTAAGCTACATTATAGTGAACAGTGCCCTAACAAAAAATAACTTATGCAGTTAACTATATAACTTTACTATAGTACTATAAAATATAGTACATACTTCAATACCTTTGCTTACTACTGTAATGAAACCTTTATACTGTACTTTCACTATGATATTTTGAAGCTTTTTTTACTATGAAACTTTTTTTCCCCCTGTACATCATTTATATCTCTAAAATTTCAACCCTACTACGGTAATTTTTAAAAATAAATTAAAATTATTAAGGTTATACTTCCTTTTATGGGCTGCATTTGAAAATTTGAAAAAATAAATATTTAGCAATTTGAGTTCTAAGTTAAAAATATTTGATTGATTGGGAGCCACTTAAAGCATAGACCCCCCTTTCCAATTTCTTTTTTTTCTTTTTAAATCTGGTATCGACACACTTTTTTCCTACTCGTTAATTCTAAATACATTAGATGCTATCGATAATGTATCCCTTTTATCTCTATGAGCTTTTTTAAAATATCTTGTTTTCGGAATTTGAAATGTGATTTGTAATCCCATAGCGTAGTGTTTGCGAAGCATTACCAGTAGAAAAAACTTGTGCTTTCAAGGCAACCGAAGTGTAAAATTCACGCCCGTGACATAATTTTATAGGGCGTCTTTACATGTTCCAACTGAGCTCGTTGTGATTACGCTTGTGATTATTTATGGGTCATCCCTTTGTTAATTCTGATCATACTTGATAACGTTCAAACATAAGTATATTTCACCGAAAACGCTCAATAATTTAAAAAGAAGTGTTTTAAGTTTCCCTTTGCTTTCATAAGAGTTATTTCAGTTAATAAAGTTAAGAAATAATTAAAGTAATGTTTTGAACTGAGTATGATGTAATGCGCAGTTTCTTGGAGGCCTTGGGGAATTTTTCTGCTGAAATATTTATAAACTTTAGGAATTTACACACCTACAAACACTATGCAAGATAGCAGTGTAATTTCTTTAACAAAAGTGTCTATGGAACGCCATAGTGTAATGTTACATGATATATTGTAGAGGAGGCCATTGATATTCAATTGGAGAAGTTTTAATTTTATACCTTTCTGGATAACTTTATCAGTATTGAAAGATTCCTGAAAGTCCATGAAACAAACTTATAAGTATTTGCTTTTTTAATTGCTGTACAGGTGACTCTCGATGGCTCGAACACAGATCTCTCGAAGTTCTTGATCTCTCGAAGTAAAATCTCGGTCATTTTTTTTCTTCTATATAACTAAGCAAATTTACTTCCAATCTCTCGAGGTTCTCTTTCTTTCGAACCAAGACCTGGTTCCAGTCACACAGATTTTATTGGTTTTTACTCTTGACCTTTCGAAGTCTTGATTGTTCGTTTACTCCAGTCAAGTGCCTAATTAATTCGTATAAGACTTACCTGGATAACGGTGAATGTCTGGGCCAAGCGTAGATGTGTTAAATGGCACTACGCTCGTGTGTCGTCTGAAGAGTTGATAATAAAAAAATAATTGATTGGTCATTTAAAAAAAAACAGACAGCTGTTTACACGATGATGATTCTGAGAAACTAAATCAGAGGTATATGTCAAAAATTTCTCATAAATTTTGAACCTTTATTCCATTTCTACACAATCACTGTAAAGCAATCGTTGCACCAAATTCCGGTCTCAATAAATGAATAGCGATGCCGAGCTACATGTATCTGTTGAAAGTCCCAGTAAACACGAGGACCTGCTACTTGCAAGAAATTCCCTCTGATCATAGTAATGAAAAGAGAAGAAATAACTATTGAAACTGAAAGATAAAATTTTTATTGTAGAAATCAAGTAAATAACCAGTAACTTACGAATGAAAATAAAATGCAATGCGCCTGAACGTTTACCACAAATACTTCCAGTAAACTCAAAAATAGATCCATAATGATCGGACTTGAAAGTTCCATATTTCTTTCCCATTTCGATTTCTGAAACACCTCTAGGCTATCTTTCGATTTTTTTACGGTTCCTTGAGCTTTGAGAGATCGAGAGTCACCTGTATTTTATCTACAAGGCACTTCAATACGAATAAATGGTCCAATCTTCTTGATGGTTTTGAATATCCAATTTGGCTTTCAAATATGATATTGATTTCAGTCAAAAATGTATCAAACCTATTATTTACGACAATCTTAAAAAAGTATCCCGATGCTATTGTAATTGTTAATATATACATTTGTGGTATCTCTCTATTATATAAACATACAGAGAGCAAATATCTTCATACCTGTATGAAGTTTTACGAAGATCATAGGTCATTACGTGACCTAATCACCCAGCGCAGTAATATCTACATAAGAAGACTTACTCTACTTAGCAATATAGCATGTTTTTCATGCATAAAAATGTACAAAATACCCAAGTAAAATAATAATCATTTTATTTACAATGTTAACGAGTAATTAATACAGTTCTTGATCGATTTTACATAGAGAATAGAAAACTACGTGTTATAAATTTCATATCTGAGCTGCATAGTCTCAACGTTTACCCTTATTTTTCTTGTAGACCTCTGAATGCTATATTTTTTTCATTAAACTTTACTCACAATAAATTTGAAAATCTGTTGGAAAATATCAATGTAATGCAATCACGCCACAAACAGCTGACAAACACTGCACTTCGGAAGTTCGGTAGGCACACCTCCATCATCGAGATCGTTGTCTTAACATGCTTAACAATGTAAGCTGTCGCCTGTGTCTCCGTGTCAACATCATAATAAATATGCCTTATTTTAATCGTAGATTTTATGTTTCTGATCAAATTTTAAACTTGATTCCAAGTTAACTGGTCCTTACAAGTGTCCCTATCCATTGCTTTCCGACCGAAATTCCTCCAACTTTTTATTATCAAACATCGGACGTGTTTCTTGTGTTTTTTTTAAACATCGAATATGGGTTCTCACGAATTCAAAATTCCCAGACACCAATATGCGCATTATAATTGATCACAAGTAGTCTTTCACAGAATATTCACTTCAAAACAGAATCCTTTGCCAGATGAATTTGAAGCGTAACCGCTTTTCAAGCCGATTTACACCTTGCGTAATTTGTCAAAATCTACGACATACAGTTAGTGCAATATTTATATTCGATTGTCCGTCTCAAATGTATATATAAGTAATAAATAACAAGTTTAAAAATTTCTCTGGGAAATGAAGTGGGTCGGTACGTGATCAAATCTTCTGAGAAGGCCTTCGGCCTTCACAGGATTTGATCACGTGACCGACCCACTTCATTTCCCAGAGAAGTTTTTAAACTTGTTATTTATTTCTTAATTCCTCTATAATTTTGTGGGACCCTTCGATTTTCAGATTTGAATATAACTGTTGTGTATCCTTCTAGCCATTTATCTGGGTAAATGCCAGTATTAAATATTGTGATTTAAAAATAAGTTAAGAAAGTAAGGTTTAAGGTAAATATGTGATGCTGTCAATATTTCGTTTTTGATACATATACTGTACTCCTTTACACATCGATGCTACATGCCAAAATTGGTTGAGGTAGGTTAAACAGTTCAAGAGAAGAAGCTATAAATGTTCAAAAGTTTAGACCGACGCACGATGGACGACGGACAACGACGGACAAAACAGATAGGAATAAATCACCTAAGTGACTCGGTTGACCTAAAAGATGAGATGGATTTTCTATGGTTTTGGTACCCGTCTACCTTTCTTGAAAAAACTAAAAGTTAATTGTTGTCAAACAATATTACTCCTTCACTAATCATGGTTATTACCAACGCACCTAAATTTTTAAGTAAAAGGAAACCTGGCATTCGTTTTCATTGCCGTTGATGAAATCGTAAAAATATTAAATGCTCGTTTTAAACACATAAAAGTATTACTAAAAAAGCACTGAGTTCCAAAGAG